GTTTATGATAGTGTTTCAGGTTATTCCACTTTCTGGCTGTGCTGATGATATCAGAAGCGGTTTTAAACTACAGTTCTAGGCTGGTCATAGTGTCTGTTTTTCAGTCTACTGCGTAATAATATTCGTTAATTTTTACAAGAATAATTTTATCACAATATGATAGGTTAAAATGTTCAAATACCTTAGGAAAATCTTCGTTTTAAAATAAAAGTTGACTGTAGAACAACTTTCTCGAGTTCATAAGTAATGATTCAAATTTTTCTGTGTTTTAATTTCGTATACGCTGTAGTTTTGTTTTGGTTATTGACTTGTTTTAAGTCTTATTTTACAATTATTGGTTATCTTAAGGTTTAGTAACTTGTTGGATAATCCGTTGATATTGTATTCCGAGTCACATTTTAGTGTATCATTGACTAAACCGAGATTTATGTTACATTATACGCACACGTTCTTACATGTTGCAGTTGCCGAGATTACCAGAATCTTAATGCCTTTTTTGCCATCGTGATGGGGCTGAGTAACGTCGCAGTAAGTCGAATGTCCCAAACTTGGGAAAGGCTACCCGGGAAGCTGAGAAAGTTGTACGCAGATTTTGAAGCTTTGATTGATCCTTCACGAAATCATCGACGCTACAGGATTATTGTTGCGAAGTTGGCGCCACCTATAATTCCTTTTATGCCTTTACTTCTCAAAGATATGACATTTTCTCACGAAGGCAACAAAACCTATTTAGAAGGACTCGTCAATTTTGAAAAAATGGTGATTTTTCTTTTGTCAACGTTAAACCATAACTGTTTTTTAGTATAATCTATATAAAAGAAACACAGTAAACAGAATCAAAGTTTACAATCGTATATTTTTGAAAATACTAACTTGGATATAATCAAAACTTGTTTTTATGAATTATGACCTAATATTTATTTGGTTGAATAACTGCCTTATGATCAGCGATGGCGTATAAGGATGGGATTGTTTGCCATTACCAGACTGAACACATCCTCCTCATGAGACATGTGTTATGATAAGATGTCGCTAGTTGAACTGCTACGTTTGTATACTAATCATACATGTGTGTTACCACTGACAATACCAGGTTCGATCATAATAATTAGGAAAGTGTGTTATCACAAGTATGAATAGGCTCTTGTGGCTAATCTAACAATGTGTTTCCACTGGTCAAAATTGCCTCTCTTTTCTTTTATGTAAAAACGTCATCGTTTGTCATATTAATCAAAGCAATTTCATTTAGTGGTAGATATGACAAAAATTTTTTTTAAAGTAAACGCGGTCTCTTTGATGGAAACTGTGGTACTTTTGTTTTCATTAGCTGAAAATAAACGTTTTTTTTCTTCTTCTTCTTTTTTAATGAGATACTTTTATATTACTCTTCCACACAACTGTGATTATAATCGTAGCATCTTTAGTTTTCACTCTCACAAGTGTAAACTGTGAATCATAGCATCATTAATTCTTACTCCCACACGTGTAAACTGTGAATGTAATCGTAGCATCTTTCATTTTCACTCCCACAAGTGTAAACTGTGAATCATAGCATCATTAATTCTTACTCCCACACGTGTAAACTGTGAATGTAATAGTAGCATCTTTTATTTTCACTCCCACAAGTGTAAACTGTGAATCATAGCATCATTAATTCTTACTCCCACACGTGTAAACTGTGACTGTAATCGTAGCATCTTTCATTTTCACTTCCAAAGGTTCGTAGCATTTAAAAAAAACAACAAATAATTAAAAAATCTTAGCAATATTTAAGTTGTTGAAAACGTCTAGTAATTCAATCATTTGTGTTAATGTATTTACATTGATGAGTGTGTGTGATTGTTATATTTGTACTAAACTGTTATTTGTTTTGTTTTGTGTAGCACATGATTGCACAGACATTACGTACGCTGAGGTATTGTAGGAGTCAAGTTTTAGGTAAGGCACGTTATAATATCCAAGACTAAGATTGGTCTTGATAGTTCAATATTTCTTTCACAGACGGGTTTCTTATATAATCAGAATTCAAAATATAGTTTAATATTATAACTTTAAGTTTTACAAATTCGTTGCAAAATACTTTGAATATTCTAACGTGAAAATTGACTTAATCGTCTAACCATTTAGTGATGCCCCCACGAAATATTTTGGTATAAAAGGTTTTATATCTTGAATTTTCAGTGTTTGCTCTGAATCTTATATATATCGTGTCACAGAAATGTCAGTATTATCATTGTTAACCCTCTGTATATGTGGTGTGTGTGTGTGTGTGTGTGTGTGTATATATATATATATATATATATAGCTTGTTTGCTTTTTGAACTTCGAGCAAAGCTACACGAGGGCTATCTGTGCTAGCCGTTCCTAATTTAGCAGTGTAAGACTAGAGGGAAGACAGCTAGTCATCACCAACTCTTGGGCTACTCTTTTACCAACGAATAGTGGGATTGACCGTCACTTATAACGCCCCCACGGCTGAAAGGGCGAGCATGTTTGGTGTGACGAGGATTCGAACTCGCGACCGTCAGATTGCGAGTCGAGCTCTCTAACCACCTGACCATGGCGGACCCTGTGTATATAGCAAATACAGAATGTTGTAATTAAATTAGCGAAATTATAGCTGAAAAAGAGCAGCTTGTTGAATTCAGTTTATCTTACATGTCACCCGGAGCTTGTATAAGGCCTTCATTGAAGCAATCTAATATTTGTTAAGGCCTTTTTCTTGTCACCCGGAGCTTATATAAGGCCTTCATTGAAGCAATCTTGTATTTGTTAAGGTCTTTTTCTATACGATGAAGTCCTTTGTGCATGACGTGTTTTACTTACTTGCGTCACTTTTAACACTTCAACAGGCATCCGTATAAAATCTTCCTTAAACAGTAGTATTCTGAATTATGTTTTAATGTAATATTGCTATTTCTATCGTTGTTTTTTTTAACAATACTTATATTTGTTTTGAATGCCCACTTTTACTTTATTATTCAAACTGATATTATTGTTACAAAAATCATATGATCATGTGCCACGTGTCTTCTTTTCAGCTATAGCAGAGCTTTGATAAAGGTGCAAAACCAAAATGGGTACACGTCTCTGGAGATAAGAATTGTTCGTTTTAATGACAAAATACCTTCAGATTTATCTTGTATATATTCATAATAGTGTTCCAGTTTATACATATTCTAAACATTTCTGCTGCACACATTTCTTCGCATACGTTTTTCTTTTTCTATTCTTAAAGGTATATATATATCAAAATCGGTAGTTGCGTCTTATTAGCCTTTCTTTCCAGACATTCCATGTCTCACGCAGTCGACCATGATCTCACGCTTTCACGTATAAGTATTAAATTCTCATGCAAAGCCAAAAAAAAAACAGAAATGTTCTCGTTTATCAAAAGCAATCAGGCATGTTGGAGCCAGAAACGATTTATTCGTGAAGTTCTTTGATATTCAAGGTATTTCATGCCAATTGTTGTTCAAAATTCACCATAATGCACCAAATTGTGCCATTTTTTTCCCCAAGATTTTCCAGGGAATCATGCCTCTTGAACTCCCCTAAAGTGACTTCACGCTGCATTAGTGACACGCAGGGTTATACATGCATCTCACTCTCGACATTTTATCACCTTTGACATCCCTTTTTCAATAGTTTGAAAGGTCAGGCTTGCCTGTAAGTTTTTCAACTCGACTTGGATGCTATTATTTTTACTGATCTTTTTGTTGTATCTTTTTTCACAAGATACTGTAACTTTCAGACTAGATCCCTATACTTTTTTTTGTTTACTGGTTTTATGGTTTTATGTATGTATGTATGTATGTATGTGTATATATATATATATATATATAATATTACCTAGTAGTAGAGGCAAAGATCGTAATTAATTTTTCCTAAATAAATAATTAATGAATTATAACATTAAACAGTAGTCAGTTATTGTCATGCCGGAACGCCCTCTCTCTAGTAAGTGAAAAAATATACTAGACGATTCTGCGGACTTACAACGCTAGAATCCGGGTTTCGATACCCGTGGTGGGCAGAGCACAGACAGCCCATTGTGTAGCTTTGTGCTTAATTACAAACAACAACAAAAAAGTGATGTGGAAGATAAATTAAATTAATTAACTGAAAAATAACTTTGTTTTAATTATTATTATTATTAATATACATATTTTTTTTAATATAGATTAGCATATAATGGACACTACATTTTATTTTCAGCTCTTGAGCCTCCACCAATAAGTAAAGTCCAGCAGGAAGTAAGAGAATACATTAGGTAAAGATCATATATGTATATATTGTAAAAAAAATACAAAAGCTATTTTATCATCGAAGTTTTGCATTTGTGTTATGAGAATTTGAAAATGAGAATAAAATCGTTTTTTATATAAACTTATTTATATTTTGACAAAAAATGATGTCGACGAAAAAGCAGGATTTGCGGAACTTTATTCTAAAGTAAACAAATAATGTGTTTATATTAGGACAAGTTTAATAACAACTTAAGAATAAATAGTTTACGTTCGTAAACGTTATAAAAAAAATCTCTTAACCGTAAGACTTATTAAACGTTGTATTATCTTACTTCACATACTTAACTCGTATTTTAGCGTCTTCATTCCTTACAGTTCTGGAGCAAATTGTATTCAAATACGATCTGATATTAGCTCCAATATATTCATTCATTTAAAAAATATAACTGAGTATTGCGAAGATAAGGAAATAAGCTTTACAATTATAAGTTTTTGAATGAATTTCTCTATAAGTAGCATTAGCATACATTTAACAAAAGAACGAAAGTCAAACGTAAAGAATCAATACTCAAGAGGTCTTATCAGTGCATACAATGGTAATACGAGTTAAACCCTTGGCTATATTGTAGCATGTTCTCATCCAGGTATTGTTTATTTTAAGAAATTATTCACATTTTTTCTTGCAGTATATGTTTTGTATTCTGTTTTACGATTAAATAAATTCAGTACTGCTAATTCCAACAGTTATATCATAAAAAAATTCTGTTCCTTTTTTTTTTTTTAGAGTTTATTTTGTATAATGTTTATTAAAATGTGTTTTGCATATAAATATATTATCACGGTTTATCGCCTATGATAGTAGGTTTCTTGGTTCGCTCCTTTTAATAATATATGGTTAGATTAAATTTATCTTGGAAGGTCATCAAAGGTCTAAAATGCACCACCGTATCACAAAACAACATAAAAGGGTTGAAGGGGTTTAAACAACTAGTAATAATCTTAAATATATTGTAAGTTGTAAACAACAACAGAAAATCGTGTTATGTGATTGTAATAACTTCCAAAGCTGTGCTCTACCACACTAGGTATAGGAAAAACAACGTGACCACCTAACTTGGAATGACTCTGTGGAGTAAAAAGTGTCATTTGAAGAGGAGTTATATATGTGGATGGTGAAAATTTTCAACTCTCTTCTCCATGGGGAACTTTCTCTTCCCAAACTTCAGAGGTACAATGCAAAAGGTCTATTGAAATGGTAAGACGTGGTGAAAGATATGTCACACTAGGAGTATCCACATTGAAGAGTTTGTTTTTTCAGCAGACTTGTATTCACAAAGGGTTTTCGATTGAAACAAGGATACTGTACTGTTTAATATCTGGCTGTTGAGAGAAAACAACTTAAGGACTGTTATGATCAGCACACATCTTTGTTGGCAGAAATACTTCGAATGAACTGTAGACCAGGAGTCTCGTCCATGGTGCAGGAATAAAATTCTCGACCCTAAAAGGTTCGGAACCTTAACATTCCCGTCGATATCACAAATATGCTTTGAACTGTGGTGATGGAGAAAAGTTTGAACGCTTTGAGGGAGTCCATGGATCATTGGAAAGCAAGAGAGACACATTTCTAGCTTAAATTGTCTCAGCTGTACTGATAATGAAGGAACTGTTCAGAAAATGCATCATGAAATCAAAAACCCCTTCTATGAAACCCAAATGTGTCACATCTAACTGAATTTTGAGTACAACGTGATATTGTGTAGTTTTGCGTGAATACAAGAATCCAGACATGGTGCACATGCGAAAAAAATAAGTAATAGGGAAATTGTCTGCAATAGACATCATGTGATGGAGATATGGATTGACCGACTACAAGAACAGAAATTATAAACAGGAAGAAGCTGAGAATGGAGGACCATCTATTTAAGTAAGGAATAAACGAACTTGAATAACCTGGTCCTTCCACTTTATCTAAAAAAAACAAGTATCTTCCACAACAAATGTTTGTTGGTATAGTAATAAGAGAAACAGTGTGATGATAATTGTCAAGAAAATATGTGAACGTTCGTTTTTTGGACTGAGAGTGATTAAATTACAATCTAGAACTTGGTGTTGTATGAGACACTTGTCTTGGAGTTATTATATACAACATGGTATGACATCTGTCACAATATAGTCCAATCAAATAAATCTAATATAGTTATTATAGAGTGTCGAGGCCTTGGTTTTAACAATTTTGCAGCTTTAGTTAATGATAATTGTTATAACCTCACTGGAGTTACCAAAGAGAATTTCTATCAGGATGCCGAGTGTCTGACAGGCATACATAGCTCCCACAACTGCATACTTCGAACACGTCTCGCATTACAAAACTAAGAACAAATATGTCTCTGAAAATACAGATACGATATAACAAAAATATTATGCTCCATGTCGGTGACATAACCTCAGTTACGTGAGCAATCATGGGTATCAAAAAACGTCCATTAGAATAACTCTGTGTTACAATATCTTTAGCTCCAACAAATTTCGAGAGATGCTTTAATTTCGAATCCCACTAGGTTACTTGCACATAAGCTGTTTGGAAATAATCAGGATACAATTGATCTTGTTTTTGGTGATACATATTTCTTATTTAGCAGTAATTAAGTGGAAGCTTTAGTGGCCATAGACACAAGCCTTTGATGAAACCTATGATGGTTGTGAGTAAAGATGGATACGTCCTCTGTGTTTTGGGGTCCTCACTTACTGATAGTAAAATCAATGATGCATTTACCCTGTAAGGCATGATTTTGGTAAGCACAGAACCTATTAAGGAATGACTTCAAGAGAATTCGATGTATTAGTTGTTGCTTAGGGTTTTTTGACAAAACTCCTACGTCTTTGAGAACTGAGATGCCAGATTACCCGAAGAAATGACAAAACTAGCATCAACAGAGGAAACAAACCATTCTATATTAAGACCCAATGCTAGAGGAGCTTTCCAGTCTGCAAATAGAAGGATTAAAAATGCAGTGCTTTGGATAAAGTCACTGCTTAATTGAAAAGTCCTTATGTTGAAGATTGCACAATGGTTGTTCATTGTGCAATACATTCTGGTTAACACTGACTAACGAAGAGGAGGAAGAGAAAAGATTTGCACAAACAATTCAATGCTGTCCTATTCACTCCCAATAAAATGAGCAGCAGGAAGGAGTTGATCAAGATGGGCTAGACGCTCAGTGTAATGTACATCTTCAAATGACGTTTCTTGCATTGTTTGATCTTCCTATACATTCTATGAAGTACCTTCGTGATTTAACCATTGTTACCTATCAGAAGTGAGTTTCTACTGATAAAACGTATTGTAGATTCATTCAGTTGCTCGGAAGAATGCATGATTTTTTAAAATGGATATTTATAATAAATACAAGGAAGTACGTACTAATATTTTGAATTTCCATTCGGCCATAAACGATTACTTAAATGCCCCCATCTGTCATCATAAGTTTGAGCTGATATATATAAGCAGATCTACTCATAAATATATAACTATTTGTAACTTTTTTTTTATAGAATTAACGAACACAGGAAATTTGCTTTGATGAATTTATTCTATTTGCACTTTATATCATAAATAGATTCGTTTAGAAATAAACCAGTCTTATCTTGTTTCAAGAATTTAAGTTCAGTACCTTTTATAAAAACAGGTATTTCTTTGTTTTTAGAAATATAAAAGTTATTGACAATCAACGTCGTCTGACTCAACTATCTAATACCCTAGAACCCAGACGGCCTTGTTGATGACAAGACACCTCTGAAGCTCGAAATGTAACGTAAATAAAGCTCGTGAATGAAGTGATCAGATACAACATGAAGAGGACTTTAATGTGATAAAAGAACATAATGGTAGAAACAACACACACAATTAATTAGTAAAGGGTATTTGTACATTGGGAAACCTCTTCTCTTGATATTTCTGTGTTTGAGACATTTTTTTTGTTTGTATTTATTGTTGAACTTAATGAAAAATACTTTGTTATATCATAAAAAATAATTGAAACTTAGCCCTAAGCAAGCTTTGGTGTTGAGTATTATAGGACACAGTGGTGTTCTTGTTTAGATAGTTTCAAACTAGACGTTAAAACGTGCTGAACAGTATTTCACCTGGAAGCTCGTGTTGTATGCTGGTTTTATTTCTTTAAGCATGAAAAGACAATCATATCAGATGTATAGTAAGTTATCCATTCAACTTATTTCTGATCAACGACGTACGTCTGAACAGTTGGTCAAATAGTACAAGTCAAAATAGTTGTAAGCACAAATTTGTAATTGTTATTCAGTGGCTATTCTTCCGATTTTTGTTAAAAGTAATTTCTTTATTTGACTTCTTCTATAAGTAATGATACTTTATACAAATTCTGAATAAGTAGTTTGAAAATATTAATTAAAACTGACTAGTTTATCAGTTGTAATGATTTAATTGTACCACGTTTCTTATTATTTCTACAAAGAATCGGTTCTTGAAACACCATATATTTTCCTGTCATACTTTTTTACTGGTTTTTTATAGCTAAATCATGTTTATTGTCGTCTTCAGTCTGTGTTTAGAAAAATGAAGCACATTTTGTAAAGACGTCCAGTTCATTATTTATTTAGTTTCATATCTGCAATCAGTTTTAGGGTGTTATGTAAAGCTAAAAAGTGTTTGCAATTAAACCAAAATGAATATTTTGATAAAATATCGTAATACATCGTAAATTTTTAATTGCCATAACAAATACTGTAATGTAACTTTTACTAACATGTGAGAAATCATAAATTGTCACCTTTTAAATAACTTAGACCAAATATAACAACATTACCATTACACTAACTAAACTATAAGACACGTTCTGTATACTAGTTACTAACCTATGACAGATATTACAGTGTAACTTAATAATCTAAGAGAGTGTAACCGTTTGGTTGATGCTCTAATATGATTTTACTAACCTATGACAGATATTATATACTTTGCAACTTTCATCGATCTATAACTAATATCACACTATAGTTTTTACTTATCTGACAGATATTACAATGTAACTTTCACTGACCTATGGCAGATATCACAATGTAACTTTCACTTACCTATGGCAGATATTACAATGTAACTTTCACTTACCTATGGCAGATATTACAATGTAACTTTCACCGACCTATGGCAGATATTACAACGTAACTTTCACCGACCTATGGCAGATATTACAACGTAACTTTCACCGACCTATGGCAGATATTACAATGCAACTTTCACCGACCTATGGCAGATATTACAATGTAACTTTCACTGACCTATGGCAGATGTTACAAAGCAACATTTATTCACAAATGTTACACTGTAACGTTTACTAAGGTATAACAGATAATACTAAGATGTTTACGTGTTTATTAACCTATGACAAATGGTATAATGGGCTTGTAATTGGTCACAGAGTATTTTACCTGGTAGAAGTGTTAAATAGCTTTGGATAACATACTTCGCAATAGACATATTATCTAATTATGAATATTGCGAGCGGCGGAACGGACTTCTTGCTGGAATCTTTTAGAAGATATGTTTTTGTGAGCTCATCTTGTTTATCAGATAGTTCCAATAAGAAATCATAAGGTGAATGACTTTCCCACTGAAAGTTTGGTCGGTATTCGTTGAATAGAAGGCAAGGAGACCAAACTTAATCTTCTCTAGACATTTTCTCCGAGTCTAATCACGTTATAAAATGTTATCAGTTGATAAAGTCACAATATAAACGTGTTCTATAATAAAGATGTTTTTTTTTCCCAAACGTAAAGAATGAGGGTGCGCTGACACTAGAATAGAAGTTTCAGATTGGACTGAAATTAGATTTTTTTTTCCAAGACTAATGAAAATTACAAAGAGTGATCTTTCCACAAAATAGGTATTAGTAATTTATTATTAACACTGAATAGTCAAAGATCTAGTCTATGATGTTTGAATAATACTGCTCTTAGTGTGAATTACTAAGGGAAGTGTTGATGTTAGGTGTGATATACGTTATCATTACGTGTTATCCTTGTGATATCACGTCGCTTTGTCACTAACTAAGCGGAATTCCTTATACATGGTAGCTTTATCTATACATTAGCTTTAGCTAGTATTAGCTTGCCTTCTTGCAGTCATATAAATCCACCATTAGTAAAATACCAATAACGTCTTATGGCCCATTGGCTTTTAGATCACCGATGCTATTTTGTTTTGGAAGAATAAAATCAATTCATGCTTTCCTTTGGTTAACCTTCTGTCTTAGTAGTCCCCCGATAGGCCAGCAATTAGTTTACTAAATTACAGCGCTAAATTCTGGGGTTCAATTGTCTGCGGTCGGTACAGTAGATAGCTCAATGTGGCTTTGCGCTCAAACAATCAAACACGCAAACTGTTTTTAGCATCTCGGTGAAAACAGTAATGTTTGTTGGTGTTACGTTAAGAGTAAATAATGTTTGTCATGTCGAATCGTGTTGGTTAAAAGTCTGGAAACCAAAACTGAGTTAAGCGTTAAAATTGGTGGGCAATGTGAAAATGATATCTAAACTTGTACGTTAAAATAGAACTGGAATCAAAAACTTTTGGGATCATTAAAATAATAGAGATATTTCCGTTAATTTCCGCTTTGAGGTAATAATATTCAATAATGTAAGTGTTGTGTTTCTCTTTCATAAATGTCCGATTGTTCTCGGCATACTGTAAGTATCGAACACTTAGATTAAATAACAATGGTCTAATGGTAATCCGTTTAATCTTTATCGTTTGATCGATAAGCTTGTTGCGCTCATCTTCAAAAATGTACTAAAGCAGTGATGAAAGTTAAATAGAAAAAATAAAACGAGCTGAGGACTAAGTTAATCTTTCATGTGTGTTTAGCGAATTTTTCCTATGATACTCATTTCTGTGCCTAACTTAGATTGCTCGCTGTTATTGTTTGGAAGTTTGTTTTCTTGATTATACCCATTGATTTCTGTTGGAAACATTAGCTAAGATCTAAAGATACCAAAGTGTCTATTGGATTCTCCATCATAAAGGCGACGTGCCTTGGATTGTTTTAATTTATTAATACAGAGACGAAATCTCCTCCACTTTTATAATTTTTGGAATAATATGCACGTGCATCCAAATTTCCTGGACTTCGGAGAATATAGGATGAAAAGTATCAACTTTTATCGTTCTTAATAAAGTTCAAATGCACAATTATGACATACGAAACACATAGATAAATTCAAGCCTTGCACAAGAGGTTCTAGTCTTTAAAATAAAGAAGACTGAGATAAGTTTTGTAGCATATTAATAGTGAATATATATAAATAAAGAGTACATCATAAGTGTGAAAACTAATGGATTATTTATTAATTCGTTATATCAGCTCCGTAGCTTGTTTGAAATACGGCCACTCGGAGAAGTTTGTAAAAAAAAATGTGATTAATTTACTTTTCTTGTTTTGTATGAGAGCTGTATAAAGAAATTACAATGCAGTGTTCAAAATGTACATTTTGTAAACTGATGTATTTGGTCCGTGAAATTAATTAAGTGGTCTTAACCAAATCTTACTGATTTGAGTAAGAAATTCCTTTAACTAAACATTCCGTTTCATAATTAAATGTTGATTTACGTGTAAGTCTAGCAAGAAAGAACAATTATGTCTCTCGAACATTATACAAATGCAGTTTAATTATATCATGTATCGAGACTGTAGATAAAATCTATGTATGTTAAAAACGTTGTGTACTGTTGTTTTTTTTCCTCTATCCGAGCACGTAGTTTTACCTTATCCACCAACTATAAAGCATTGGATAAGGTTATGTAAGGCTTAAGTTACTGATAGTAGATGTTTACAGCCTTACAAAACATATGCTATTGAAACAGTTTTCTTCATCGAATATTGAAAAAAAAAATTGTATTATAGGATTTTCATTTCGAACGTTTTGCAAAATTTCCCATCTTTTGTTTTATAGTTATCATTAAAAGAAAATACGCTTTGGAAATAAGAATAACCGACGTCAGACGGTGTTCGTTTCTTAGTTTAAGAATTTTGCTCTTATGGTTTATTTTAAATTATTATATATGATTACTTCTACGAGTTCAATTTGGAAGAGAAGATTTTTTTAAACCATATTTGATATTTTTTTCTAAAGGCAAATTAACAGTAAAACAAGCAAAATTGTAAAACGACTACCACTTGCAATTGTACGTTTTTCGTTGGTTACTAGAAGCATGGTTAACTTGTACCTAACAACAAAAAATTAGTTAAATATCTAAGAACATGTATTTTACTTAATTTTTAAACATCTAACATGTATTGTTTATTGCTAGAAAATGATACCATTACAGCACACACACACACACACAAAACTTCAGGCAGATTGACCCCTTCTATGTCACGGTATATAAACCCACAAAACTTCAGGCAGATTGACCCCTTCATGTCATGGTATGTAATCTGAAACTGATGAGTAAGAACCAATTAAAAGTAGGGTGTTCGATAGAATATCCACTAGTTAATATGAGGACTTCAAGTTTGATTGGATAAATTCAAATGTTTGAATAATATTTGAACTTTGTTTACCTAGATAACACAAGTTATTTTTCTTTTAATAAAAAACAATGAATTTTCTGGATCACTAAAGACTTTAATGGTGAATATTTTGAATTAAAAGACTTTTTATCTTGTACCGATATTCATACTTTTTACATATTCCTCTTGCTGTGACAAAGTTATTACATTTATAACTGTGGTTTTTAAAACTTGCATAAATAACTTATATTTTCCAATGTAAGGTAATATGAAGTGGAATACTGTTTTTGGACAACAAATGTACGTTGAAATATATAACTTGTAGAATCGCAAAATCTCATGATCAGCTAAAATAGGAAAAGTTATCAAATTTATTAATTACAGTGCAATTGATAATACATTTCCAATTGGAAACGTATATTTGAAAACTTTTATATTTGGTTTTACTTTATGATATCGCAACTTGATAGATAGCCGAGAAAACCAACAACAAAAACACTAGTGTAAAGTGTGCAACGGATTTCTAGGCTTAGCGTAGCTCAAAAAATCAATGTAGTGTATAGTATGCAGTAGAATTCTAACTTTTCTAGGCTTAGCACAGCACAAAACAACAACGTTGTAATATACAGTGCAAAGTGGAATTCTAGGTTTTTAGGCTTAGCGTGGTACAAAAAACATTAGTGTATAGTGTGCAGCGGATTTCTAGGCTTACAGTAGCTCAAAATACAATATAGTGTGCAGTGGAATTCTAGCTTTTCTAGGCTTAGCGCAGCACAAAAACACAAATTTTAGTGTATAGTGTGCAGCGGAATTCTCGCATTGTTATAGGCGATTATGTTTTTTGTGTAATTAGAGCCGTTAACGACACCTATATTCCATTTCGTGGAAGTAGGTTAAATTATTAGATTTTGATTCAGCGAAATGTGTCATTTTACCCCTAAACAAGTAACACGGTCCTTCCATAAGAGCTCCGGTTATTGCAATTGTTTAATCAAAACTTATCAATTTATATAGCTATTTGTATTCCTTAAATATCATAAATGTTACTGTTAAGATATTTTCTGAAAAGACAAAAATCTAATTTTTTCACTAGTCTTCAAGTACGTCAGAGAAATTTATCTGATTTTGTTCTGTGATACTTAAGTCTATATTTCATTAGATTCATATATTTCGAAGTCGTGTGGTAGATATGACTAAAGGATTTTGTTTTTAATCATACTGTCTATTGAATATATCGAAGATGAAGAACATAAAAATAGAAATAAAATATTTATTTTATGGCTGTTTTTATAAGTTATTCCTGGAATGTTTTTTTACCTGCTCAGTATATTTTATTCCCATTAGCTCTCTTCATTTGCCAGTTTCTTCACACTTTGGAGCATGGGGTTGGTTGGTTGGTTGTTTTAGAGCAAAGCCACTTTGGGCTGTCTACTGTGTCCACTGCGAAGAATCAAACTCTGGATTTTAGCCTTGTAAGTCCGTGAACTGTCTCACCGGGGGACTCTGCGCATGGGGAATAAATAACATTCAATAACACTTTTATGCACGGAATGATGAAAGCTGTTATTCATCAATGAAGGGAACATAACCTTCAAGGACAGCTTGCAGCCCGTGTTAGCAATATTTCTCTCTTTTAATAGCTATTTTATTATTGCAATGAAACAGTAATTTATTGAATTTTAGAACAGAAAATATTAAATAAATAAGCCAAAAGTTTCGATAAATCAACTTACGGACAACTGTTTACTTGGTTAATGCATTTTATGTGACAGAAACACATATTTGTCTTTGGCTTCACACTTTTAGTGTTTGTTACACAAGTGCTAATTATGCATAGTCGTTTCTAATTTTGAATTGAAACACTACGGGTAAAGCAGCTAGTCAACAATATTAATAGCTGTTCAACAACACTAACCGAATAATGGGACTTGAAGGTTACTCTTACAGTACATCCACGGCCTCAAATTGAGAGCGCGCTTTTGAGACAGCAGCCGCGAACTCTGAAACCTTGGGTTCACATTCCGGGCACGTTATATCCACTTCTAACCCTGGGTTTTATCGGAAACGGGTGCAGCTTATTTTTGTGAAAGATGGCTGTAAACGATTTTTGATACAAATTAAGTTATATGAGTGTTCCATGAAACTACTGACCAAGAATCTCATCTTTGTTTATGGAGAGCAAAACAGAAGACATCTAAAAGAAAAGTCAGTTCTAGCTAACAAGATTTGAATTCGTTTTTTTTATTTAAATTTGAACTTATTCCATTCAGTGTAGTTATAGGGAAGAAATGCTTACGAATTCCAGTGTAATTTCAATAAAACCATTTTACACATGTTCTGTATATTTATTTGATATAACGTAATACATAAACGATGATTTTATTCATAACTATTTTCCCGGAAATATAATATTTAGTAATTTTTTGCTTTACATT